CACAAATTAGTTAGCATAAATCAGTTAAATGACGAAAAATTAGGTGTCTATTTACTTGTGACCACTCAGTGTACAGGCCTTTATGCTAATAACAGTAAAAAAGTAACCATTTTTACCTGGTTGTCCAGGTAAGCCAGGATTTCCACGTGGACCAACAATTCCTGGCTCTCCAGGTACTCCAGATCGTCCAGGATTTCCCTTTTCTCCACTTGGGCCAGGAAAACCTAATCAGTAATGACATTTGTATACAGTTTTCAAAATATTAAAAATTATTATTGAAAATATTTCTTGAGTCTTTTAAAGAAACAAACATAATGGTATTTTTTTCAGCAATACACAGTGAGGATGATTGAAACACCAATGATTTTGAATTTTATCAACCAGGTATTAATATGCTTATTAGGTAAATATATATTTCTTACATTAAAAGGATTTTTGAATTTGGATTTGAGATAATGACTTTCTTTTGAAAACATCAGCTTTCTTTGTGATAGTTTAAAAATTAACAGGAAAACAGAAGGTCTATTAAAACATTAGTATAAGAATATAAAGTAACTATAACTGGGCGAAACCCCTATCAAGCCATATACAGTTCTTGCTGTTGTACAAATTCATCCTTGTCACACAAGCATGAAAATCATTAATACTACAATCTAATAGTTAAATAACTTATGATGTACAAAGAACCAGGATTTATCAAGATGACATTTTAAAATTCTAGAGAGTATACGATTTTTGTTAAGAGACCATCTAAAACTGTCATAGTTAAAAATTCCTGAACCTTTTTCCATAATTCCCAAAGCCACTGATCCTCCCCTTTTTATCAAATTTAAAAATGGTGAAATATAAGATATGGTATGGAGTAAGAAAGAGTGAAATAGATGTCCTGTTAGCTACATTTATTAAAGAAAGAAACTGATAGGAAAAAAAAGATAAATAAAATTTAATAACTCTGATGGCACTATATTTATGTACTTTAACAAATAAGTTTCTGCTTTTTTTTTACCCATCTTCATTGAACAATGTTTCATTATTTTTAATGATGACAACTGTGAGCAGTCCCTAACTAATACATTAAGATCATTATTATAATTGGACATCACTGGCTATGCAAATTAGTAAAATCATTGCTACAGTTGGATGAATAAAGGTTTCCCTACAAATTCAAACATATGTATAAATTCTGAAATAGATCTTGTTGTAAACCTGTGCTTGATGTTGTTAAATTAATATGCTACCCAACTAACCATGATAACTGGGAGTTATGGCATGTCTAAGTTACAAAATTAAATAGAACATCCTTCTTCTAATGTTTCATTTAATATGAAGTTAAATGTTTTAGCTTTAATTTTTTATACACTAGTAAATAAATGTCTCTAAAGGATTTTAATAAAGTACTTTCCACTATAATGTGCTGGATGTTATGATCCCAGCTCCAATACTGGGCAAAAGACTTTGATAGCATGTTTTGTAAGTAAATATAACAGATACAAATCAAATACAAAGATATGTAGAGCATAATGTTATCCAGTACTTTGAGATTCACATTTAGTAGAAAGTAAGAATGTTAAATCAAGAACTATAACAGTTAGTCCGACAAACTGAATATTTCCTAGGTAATGACAAACAGCTTTTCATACAGACAGATATTTGCATATGTTTATATATTGGATTTAGAATTTCCAAGATGGGGATATTCCTTATACTTAATGGTATTAGAAAACAGAAATATGGACCAACTTGGGGAACCAGAACCATTCTGAAAGCGACCTGAAACAAGTCATACCCCAGCTGTGATAAGCGAAGTGTTTTATAACAGTTGAGAATTCATAAACACAAAGATCAGTGGCAAAACCCATCCATGTATTCTAGGCAACCCTATGCAATATAAACATGGAGGATCTTCATCTAGAAACAATACCAATAGGATATAGGTACACCAAGATGAGACTTCCTGTATTACCTTCCATTACACCATTGCATACCTCAAGCAGCTGGACAATGAAATTGGTATTCATGCTTTTCCATAAGAAGATATGACACCTTTACAATGGAAACTACACTGAAAGGCCATTGTCAAGATGCACAGTTGTCAGATAAAGACATGGCAACATGGTCTTTAATAATGTGGTGAAGCTCCAAAATCATTTTGATATAATGCACTAAACCTCTTTAACTTTTATTCTGTTCAGTTAATGACTAGTTAAAAATAATTTTTTATATTAAACTGCAAATTATGCCTAAACACAAACCTTTACTACAGAGCAACTCCAAGTTAACTGTCATGTTAAAAGATAACTACTACAAATCATTTATTTCTATTTAAATGTATGATGTAAAAAGAGAAAATCAAATATGAAATTAAAATTTTGAGCAAAATGATTTTGATATAAGTGATAAAAAAATCCAGTTAATTTCCAATCCTCTAGCAACAGAATAACAGAATTTAAATAATGTAGTGGCTAACTACTTTCAATCCACATGCTACTTAATATTAATTAGAATGCAACAAAAATCTCAATTTTGTCACATTTCACAACTACAACATTTTCCTACTTACATTAAATGAAGTACATGTACAAAAATGAAATATTTCTAAGAAGTAACTTTCATTAAGGTTGAAGCCATATCTCTTACAGAGCATTAAATGGAATAAATGCATGTATAAAAACTGTTGAAATAAATACCTAGTAAGTTAACCATTAGTATCTTTTAATGAAATGTTACCTTTTGGTCCTGGAAGTCCAGGTAAGCCATCCTCTCCAGGTAGGCCATTAATTCCAGGTAAGCCATCTTTTCCAGGAAATCCAACTGGACCTGGTTCACCCTTTTCTCCATCTCTACCTGGTATTCCTGGAGGACCAGGGCGACTAGGCCCTCCTGGTAATATCAAATATTAAACAGTGTTAATGAAGAAAGAAATTTTGATATAACCATGTGTTTCTGGCATGTAAAAGGTCCATTTGTAAATGTTATACTTATAAAATATATACAAGTTTTAATGATTTGTACTACAACAATTATTCATAAATTTGCTATGTGATCAATATAAGTATTACATTAATGGGATTCCCGATTTTAAAGACATTTTACATCTATAATTAGAGCTGGGTAATTGATTTGATTAATCAATAAAATCAATTACCTTTAAGCATCTCTTATATTGACATGTGTCATGTAAAATAACTGATTAATCAAAATTATGATCAAATCAATTGATGTTATGAAAATAATCAACTAATTGAAATATTATCTATTTTTCAATTAATTCAAGATTATTAAACTTATCCATTAGTGTCACAACTCATGAAAATAATCAACTAATGGAAATTAGTGTTTCCAATTATAAATTATTTTCAAATATTACAACTATCCAGGTAATCGAAATATTAGTTATTACTACTTCCATTGGTGCAACTGCTCAAGAATGAATGCATACATTCTGTTGGTTAATTTACTAACTAAAGTGATGACTTTGTTTTCATCTTGTATGTCTAAGTAATAGTGTAACTTTCACTTAATATATTCCTTTCTTATCACAAACATAGTCAGTGGTACTTATGGTTAGACTGTTTTAATAGAGAAAAATTGGCAAACTTTTAGTTAACATTACAAGTCTTTTATACAAAAAAAATCAGATTTTTTATAAGTATTTTTACTAAAGATTTGTCCATGAATATATGGAGCCAGAGTGTTGATGGCTGTGTGTGCACATTAATTTTCAATGTTAAGATTAAAAATACTTATTTTTTCATCTAAAAGTTTTCAAATAAATATCAAATGCTTTTCTAGAAAAACATTATATTTCATCTGTTATTTTTTTACCCTAACTCAATATGGACTCAGTCGATTCAACTGGACTTGTAACCACCCTAAAAATAAATCCAAATTACTCTTCTTTCTTTCAAGAATTACTGCAAAGTGTAAAAAGAAACTGCAACTTTTTATTTGTTTATCCTAAATAGTTTAAAGCTCATAACAGTCTACATCTTTTTATACTAAACTTTGTTTCTTATTGTCCCTTTTAACTGTGTCTAACTAATAAGCCCATGACGCAAGTCATAAATCACTAAGCAAATACATACCTCACATTATTGTATTGAATGACGTAACACCTCAGCTGCTTGCTAGCATACCTCATGAAGAATTTTTATTATCTCACTTTACCTAATCTTATCTAACCTAATAAGTTTCTAATTCTTACATTTTAGTTACTTTTATAATAAATAAAGGATATACACGAAAAACAAGTCCTCTGACTTCTTGTTTTATTTCTCTACCAGTTGCCAATGAAATTTAAACCTACTTTTTTATACTCATGGTACTAGTACACTAAACAAATTTTAATTACTTAAACAATGCATCTAACTATACATAATAATAATACACACAAACTACACAATTTATTAAACTAGAGTAATTTGAATGGCTTTCTAATTATGCCATAAGTGCCTTGAAATAATTTCCAAGGCTTCTTGATCTGAACACCATGAAAGAAACTTTGAAACTGAAGACAAAATATATGATTCTGTACTCAAAACAACATAATATAATACTCATTTAAAAGATTAAAATCTTGCTTTTCTGTTGGTTGTAAATAATGTAGTATAAAAATGTTAGACAAAACTACTGGCAATTTGTGAAAGAGAGAATGTGACAGGTGGATTTGATTTTCTATTTTATGACTCCATAAACAAACAAGATTGAAGGATATTAAAATTAGGTTTTGTCTTAGTAAATCTATATTATAATGACTAATTCATGCTAAATTACATACTTCAGAGAGGGATGGTAATGATTTAGAGATGACCTAGAGATCAAATGTCACAATTCTTATACTTGGGGAAATTGAGGATTATTTAAATATTTTCTTATAAAAATTAAGAACTTAAAAATAATATAATGTTAAAACTTGATTTATTAACTATGTTTTGATGCCACATTTATTTGTATGTATTGATAAAAAAGTCATTTAATTAAATTTTCAATGTAACTCTAAAAGGTTGTAATATACACTTTTTGACCTACCTGTAGCAAGAGGGTTAAGAGCATTGCTTTATTCCCATGTTATTTCAAAATAATATAATTATCATAATACCTGGAACTCCTCTTTCTCCTTTTGGTCCTCTATAACCAACATTTCCTGGAAGTCCTTGATCTCCCTTTTCACCACGTGGCCCTGGTCGACCTACAGAAGACTCTCCCTTTGGACCAGGAAAACCCATAGGACCAGGAGGACCACGAAGACCCACATTTCCAGGGAGTCCTTGTAATCCCTACAAAGATAGTAAATTGTGTTACCCAATTCATTTAAATGGTATGTGTTTGAGTTTAAGCAGATAAGGAACATCGTTAACTAGAAGTACAGATAAACGAAAAAAAAAATTATACTGTACAGCACGACTATAACAAATAATATTACATTCACAAGACTTGAGTTTATTCTCAAAATACTCTTATAATCTTATACAACATAAATATTTGAAGATGTGATTGACAACTTAATGTTCTTAGTGAAATAATCAGATAACATTTCCTTGTTAAATTAAATGCATTTAAAAGTCATGAGCTTTTGTTGACAGTTACAGAATGTGGATCTGTTTTCAGATTTCAAATATCTAATATTTAGACGTATGTATTACATTCTTTATATGATATTATGAAAGCTTCTATTAAAATATACAACACCATATCATAATTCTAAACAATTTTACAGACCATAATTTCTGATTATGTTTGTGGGTTTTAGCAACATACATTTGGTGCACATATATGTTGCATATTCAAAAACATTGGAACAGCCAACCTTGATAAATGAGTCAGGTTTTCCCATTGAGGCTTCATTTCGATATTACTTGTTACCAGACTTGAATTCTCATCAGAGTACATATATATTTCTGAACATAGCTGTACTTCTGAACTCTTGATTAAATTTCTGGGTGTCAGCTTGAATACCAGATGTGCACTTATTTGCATAAGTGTGACTAATTCTGGGGAACTAGGAATCTAGATCAATATTCCATGTTAGTATACAAACATCTTTAATTAATTAAGCACCCTTGATCTCACAGTCTCACACACAGTGGTCTTACGTGTCTTCAGTGCACTAAGCACACAGGAGTTGTATAGGAACAGGCAGACTAACATATCTCAGAGACTTATATCACCAATAACTATCATTACTTGAATAAATGCAATATTTTAAATGGGGTAGAATGTCATCCTGCTTCTTTTCAGGAGGGTCCAAAACTATCCTGCTACATTTTAATAGACTTGAAACCATCCAGGTGCTTTTATAGTTGACTACGGCTACACCAAATATCTTAACCTCTCTTTCTTCTCCTTTTTGCACAAGTACTGGCAGCACGATACGAAACAAAGCAAAAATGAAACAAACTGCAACACAGTTAAATCTCATGTCCATCAACTTGGTTGGTCTTTCACTTAACATTTCTAAGCCATGATTGAGAAACAACCACCTACATGTTGAATACACTATTTGCCTGCCACTATGATAAAAAAGTGTTTGATTATACGATTACTGTAAATTCAGTTAATGACTATAAAAATTCAGATTGGATATTTCAGGCTTGTACATGTTGGCCTAATCTCAAATTATACACAAACTAATTAGGCTCTCTTTTCTTTTCTTTTTGAAGTTCAAGAATTTCACAAACCATCCGACTTTAAGCACTAAATAAATGTGAACTTCTTTGTGGTATCTTGAGTCAAATTGAGAGATTCAAATTACTAGCTAATGGTGTTTTGTTGCAATATTTTCTGTAGTATAATAAGCATATTTATAAAGAAAAAATTCATAAAACAAAAATAATGACAATCAAAGTACCAAAAATTAAAAATATGATACAGGATTTCCTTTTTATAAGTTTGCACTTGTTTATCAACAAAAAAACTTGCCACAAAACTTAATATATATATATATATATATATATATTATCATAACAATGAGTAATAAACATGGTTGCAGAAAGCACAGTTTAAACCTACAACAAATGTTATTCTTGATATTTATTGTAGATTGGTTTATACTTAAGTGCAAGGAAGACTGATACACACTAAATAGTACTAATGGATTAATTTCTAATACGACCTA